CTAAATGCTACTGAGCACCAGGCTCCAGACAACAAGGCCCTCAGCAGCCTCTAACAACCTAGTGAGGCCTAACTTTGGTTTTTCTGAGTGGATCACAACAGGGTGTAGTGAGGCCATGGCTCCGACACGGAACATAAGGTGTTTGGCAGCTGTCTGAGCAGGTCAGGGTGAACATAGTAGCCTAAACACCTACAGGGATCCTTACTCTTAAGACAGAATCCAATCCATCAGTTTTTTGCCCATCATGGTCTCTGGTGGGTAGGAGAAGCAATGTCCCCTGTTGGCACAAGTCCAGGATGCACGTTATCCAATTAGCATCATGCACAGAAATTTCTGGCACACCACTTCTGTTGTTGGAGAGCCCACAATAGTCCCCAGCCCTAATTAGTTTCTTGCAGGGGCCAGCTAACTATGGCTCACAGACCAGCTGGGCCATTTTCATGTCATCCATATCATCTTGTGTGATGTGCATTATATTCATAAATGGTTGTTTTATCTCACTGAGAAGCTGATTCTGGAAGCAGAAACATCCTCATCCCCCCTACTTCAGACTCAAGTCTGGGGATGCCCCTCAAACTGTGACAGGGAGGGAAGAGGACAATGACACAGTCCAAGAAAACACGGTGCCCTTGGAGAGCAGCTGGAAGGTCAACTATTTCCAGCACAGTTTTCTATTGTTTATCCCGTAACATAAAAGTGCCTGCAGGCAGGAGAGAAGCGGGTGCAGCCCCATGAAGTTCATCTGTGGAGAGAAAGCTCAAACAGGAACTCCGGCTGACTACCTAGGCTTCCCCAGTCGGCTCTGCTGGATATCACAAGTGCGGAATTTGATGATGTTATCTCTATCTGCTACTATTTGTTCTTTTCTTTGGACACTTCATCCCAGAGGATGTGGTACTGGCTGGGAATTCCAGCCAGGTGCCTTAGAGGGATTTCCCCTGTTGATTTCAACTGGATGGTTTGAGTGTTGTTTTGATGAAGTTTTGTTATCTATCTACCTACCTATCTATCTATCTATCTACTTACCTATCATCCATCTATCATATATTCATACATTTATTCCATCTATCATTTATTCTTTTATTTTTGTTTGCTATACACTTACTAAACTTGCTCATTGAAAACTAGAAGCATAGCTATCAGAGCTCACTCTCCAATCATACAAAACACTCCACTACAATTGCACAACCCAGTGTACTCTGCATACAACATTCACTTCATGGGAGAAGTTTGCAGAACTCTGGGCTAGATAAACTGGGTACTTTAAATCCTTGTATGCACTCCCAACAAATCCCTGAAAACCTGCTTCAGAAACTCCATCCTACCAAATGTGCTGGCCTCATAAATTGTCCACCCTGCAATACACAGACAAGAAACCTGAGGATCCTTCTGTGGAGATTTACAATGTGTGCCCACGAATGTGCCAGAGGCTGGTGTTAGGCGTTTTCTTCAGTTGGTACCCACATCAGCTTTTGAAACAGGATCTCTCACTGAACCTGAAGCTCACCGATTCAGCTAGCCTGGGACCAACAAGCCCCAGCAGTCCTCTTGCCTCCCTGCTTCTCCATCACTGGGATTATAGGTGTGAGGGATATACTTGGGTCCTGTACACAGCTACTGGGGATCAAACTCACATGATCATAATAGCGCAGCAAGCACCTTACAGCCTGGGCCATATCCTCTTTATAGAGGAAAGCTGTCAACCAGCACGCAAGAGGACATTCTGAAGAGCAGTGAGAATTGGATTCCTAACTCCTGGGCTCTCTGTGAGCTGACACTGGATGATTCAAGGGTAAATGTAAAAGTCTGACAAAAGATTTTGAACTTGTAACAGCCAAGCAGGAAGAGTCAGGTGACAACAAGAAGGGCTGGGCTACAGGGAGGCCAGCAAAGGACTCCGCCTTCTGTGACCTGTGAAGCAGAGAGGCCCTGCCAAATGATGCTTTTATTTTTCCTGGTAGCTACCTTGTCAGCATCCCTAATTCTACAGGGTTGGTACAACAGCCAAATTCAATCAGGAAGCAAGGGCCAGACTGTTCGATGCTACAGAAAGAGAAACAAGTGGAGTCTGGGAAGGTGGAATCCTCTAAGAGACGGTGTGTGTGTGTGTGTGTGTGTGTGTGTGTGTGTGTGTGTGTGTGTGTGTGTGTGTGTGTGATCAATTGCAAGGGCCTCTCTCTGCAGGAGGGCTGAATGCACCTAGAGTACAAAGTTCCCGGCCCATTCTCTCTAGGTGGCTCAGGGAACAGACTCTGGGGTCTAGACTGGAATCTCAGCTATGACACCTGCTTGCTCTATGACTTTTGCCAAGTAGTTTTAACTTCTCAGCACATCTCTTTCCATATTTGTTTGTTAATACTGCTTATGAACTTGACAAGGGGTAGAACTGCCAAGGAGGCTGTCTCTAGGTGTGTCTGTGAGAACTGAGCTTGACTGGGCTAACTGAAGTGGGAAGGCATGAGAGGCACCATTCCCCAGGCTTGAGTCTTAGACTGCACAGAAAGGGGAATACTAGCTGAGAACTCATTGCTCTCTCCCTAACGACTACACAGGCACAACGTGACCACCTATGTCACACTGCTGTCGTGATTTCCCCACCATCATGGACTGAATCCTTGAAGTCTGAACCAAAATAAACCCTTCCTACCTTAAGCTGTTTTTGTTATTTTGTCACAGTGATGGGAAAAGTAACTAATACAGCACATATAAAATGGGGGATAAAAGTGTTTATCTCTTGGGGCTTGGGGGATTCTAAATGAGTGAATAATTTTATAATCCATAAAGGACTTACTGGGAGCTGGTAAGTTCTACACAGTGACTACTACACATCCAAGTGATTAGTCCTTTCTCCTGAGTTATACTTGCTCTTGCTCTAGGGCCAATGCTCAGTGACAGAATGCTTGTCTAGTGGGCCCAGGTTCAAGCCCCAGCACTACAAAACCAAACTGAAAAGAAAGATAACTGGTTATCAGAAACAATGCTATTCCCTGTGACTTCCAATAAGTGGGAGATCCTGATAGCTCAGTGTTCTGCAAAAGAGTCCAACCCAACTGTAGATGGTAGAATACCCTGGGATCATGGGGCTTCTTCTACCATCTCCTTAACACTAGGCTATTGTGTTACTTTTCTCCTTGCTGTGGCAGAGGAAATTTAAGGAAGGAAATGTTTACTTTTGTCTCATAGTATGAGGGTATAGTCTGTCATGGCAGGGAAATCGTGGCAGCTGAAGTGTGACACAGCTGGTCATATTACATGTGCAGTCAGAAAGCAGAGTGATGAACATTGACATTAAGCTTGCTTTTTCCTTTTTGTATAGTCAAGAATCCAAATTCATGAAATGAGTCACTGGCATCAAGTATGGCTCTGCAAACCTCATTTAACCCAATCTAGACACTCTCATAGTCATGCCCAAGGATGATTCTAGATCCTGTCAAGTTGGTAATCAATATTAATCACAGATTCACTCCTTGTCAACTTGACATCAAAATATCACTTTCCACCCCTTGTCTCCATAGGCTCATGGCCATCTTATCATGGAAAGTATACTCAGTCCAACTTAATAAACACTCACAGTCCTTTTGTGAGATTTATTTTTTAAATGTGCTTGTACATATCTGTGTGAATGTCTGCCATTCGTTTTAGATGCCTGCAGAGGCCAGAAGAGGGTGTTGGATCTCCAGAGTTAGAGTTACAGATAGTCATGAGCCACCCAGCATGGTTCTGGGACCCAAACTTAGATCCTCTGAAACAGCAGCAAGTGCTCTTACAGGCTACACCATCTCTCCAGCCCTATTCATCCCCAATGTCTTTAACAGTTCTAATATTGTTCAAATGAGTAAGTGAAGAATCTTTTGTAAAACTCAGGAAATCTCTTAATTATGATCCTCTATAAAATCAAAAACAAGTTACACACTTCTAACATATAATATATAATGACACACGTTATTCCTAAAGGGAGGAATGGACAATAACAAGAAATATCAGAGCCGGGCGTTGGTGGCACACGCCTTTAATCCCAGCACTCGGGAGGCAGAGTCAGGCGGATCTCTGTGAGTTCGAGACCAGCCTGGTCTACAGAGCGAGTTCCAGGACAGCCTCCAAAGCCACAGAGAAACCCTGTGTTGAAAAACCAAAAAAAAAAATCAGAACAAAGGATAAAACAAAACTCAGCAAGGTGAACATGAAATTCTGTCCATTATCTGGGACTCCTGGTGGAATACTTGTTGTGTGATATTTGATCACATTCTGACAACAAAGCTTAATTTGAATCAGAGGGCAGAGCTAATCACTAGCTGACCAAAATTAACCATAGAGGTTTTGGAGGACTGAGGAAATAGAGGATCCTTAGAGAGGATTTCAGCCCCTTTGGATAGAGGAACAGAAGAGATAGGAGGTCACTGGTCACTTCTCCACTGTTTCTCTGATCATTTAGGTTCTTACACAAACATTTGACTTCCGAATTTTTGATCAATAAAGAATAAATAGATAAACATATCAAAAAATCAAAAGGCATATTGGCACATGCCTTTAATCCCGGCACTCAGGAGGCAGAGGCAGGTGGAGCTCTGTGAGTTCAAGGCCAGCCTAGTCTCCATAGTAAGTTCTAGAACAGCCAGGGCTACAAAGTGAGACCTTGGATACCCCTACTCTTTCAACTCTCTTGCCTACACACACATATCCTCTTTCTTAGGCCTGCCCTGCTTCATGCCTACAGCTTTCTTTGGCAGACATCCCGAGGTTCTGTCATCTCCAACATGCCGGCATCTCCATTCCAACTTAAGCCTCATATAATGGCTCCTCAGAGCCTTCTATGGAACCTTGGCGTAAGCCTCCATGACCCCCTCACTCTTGTATCCCTCATCATGCTTACAAACCTAGCACCACATGGACACACCTAGCTTTGCTGCCAGCCCAGGGTGCAGCCTGACCCCTTAAACCTTAGTAGCATTGGCCTCTGTGTTCCTTCCAGACTGGCTGTGAGCAAAGAATCACCAGGAGGGTGTTTTTGAGTCAGTAGTATTCAGTTCAGGTTCTCTCCTTTCAAATAAATTTGGCTTTTCAAGAGTCTTCAACACATGGGGTTTTGCCTCTTGAGGGACACTTCCTGTTGTCTCCATGCAGCTCAGAAAGTGTCTCAGTACTGATGCTGGTCTCTTTCACAAGTACAGCTCCTTCCTCAGCATCAGCCCTCTCTGCAATGTTAAACTCCACCCTCTCACCTCCAAAGGGTGCATGCTTCATGTCCTCCTGCTGTCCTTACTGCTTTCTCACCGTGGACCTGTGTAAGCACAGTGAACAAAAACCATGGCATGGCTCGGATACTATCCTCTCTTGAGAGTTCCTCTGCCAAACAAACTGGCTGATTACCTTAAAACTCTGCCTCAGTCAAATTCTCAGGACACAGGCAGGGTGTAGCCAGATTCTTTCCCACACAGATGACCTGTGGCCCAGCTCTTAACAGTCCCATTCCCTTCTGAAACCCCATGAGCATAGCCCCCACATTTCTCCCAACCTTCTGCCTTTAAAACTCCCATCAGAATGACCGTTAAGTTCAGCTTGTGGCATCCTAGGGCTTTTCTAGCTCCAAGTTCCAAACGTTTTCACATTCTTCCCATAAACCTGTTCAAACATGGTCAGATTTATCCCAGCAACAACACTGATTCTTTTAGTAGCTACTTTTCTTGCTGCTCCAGCAGAACATCTGACAGAAGCAACTCAAGGGAGGAAGGGCTGGCTCACAGTTTGAGGGTACACATCCATCATGGCAGGGAGTTGGGGCATTAGGAGTGACACAACTAGTCACATTGCATCTACAGCCTGGAAGCAGAAAAGCTGAAGGCCCATGATCAGCTTGCCTTCTCCTGGACCCCACCCAGGCCACAGAATAGTGACACCCACAGTTACTATTGGTTTCCCTTCCTCAATTAATTTGAAAAATGCCTTACAGACATGTTGAAGGTCTATTTCCTGTGATTTCAGATCCTGTTAAATTAACAATCGGTATTAATCACCACAGCTCTTTAAAAGCCTTTGGAGTACTAGAAACCTAGTCCATCAGAGTCCTGGTCTGGACCCTAGTAGATCCAAGAGGGGCCTAGGATCTCCAGTGGCAGGTGTTATGAATGTGCAAGACTTGGAGAAATAAAGGCACCAACAGAAGCCACAGAAAGAGAAGCTTCATGCTCTTGGACATGAAACTGACATCCTGAGATCAGGGACCTGGATGTTTATCCCACTACTGTCCCTTCACCCAGAAAAACCTGAGTGCCCAGTGACAGCTTGTACTGATACGGGAGACTAATCATTAGGCTTCCTCCACGTACCTAGTAACTAAGACTAGTGAACTCTCCCCTTGATATTTAGGGTAGAGCCCTCCAAATTCCAGGCTCTATTTATTTATTTATTTATTTATTTATTTATTTATTTATTTATTTATTTATTTATTTTGGTTTTTCAAGACAGGGTTTCTCTGTGTAACTTTGGAGCCTGTTCTAGAACTAGCTCTTGTAGACCAGGTTGGCCTCAAACTCACAGGGATCTGCCTGCCTCTGCCTCCCGAGTGCTGGGATTAAAGGCGCATGACACCACTGCCCGGTTTATTTTATTTTTAGGAAGAATTCCATTCTTATTTTTTAACTATATATATAAGAAGGCATCTGTGCACACGAGACCAGAAGTGCTGGATGTCCTGGAGCTTAATTATAGATGGTTGTATGCAACCTGTTATGGATGCTGGAAACCAAACTTGAGTCCTCAGCAAGAGCAGTGTGCAATTTTAACTGTTGTGCCATCCCTCCAGCCCCCAGGCTCTATTTGTTTATTTGCAGTGATAGGGGCCAAGCCTAGGCCTCACTCATATAAATTAAGCTTTGTAAAGGATGCTGCCTTGTAGCCCAGTCTCTTCTTAGACGTATTCATTAATAAATAAATATCTTTTTAAAAACAAAGAAAAATAAAGGTATCCATTAAGCACCTGATGTCTACCAGGCTGTGTAGGTACCTCACTCATGTTGGGACATTTAGGGGAGGACTTTACTGGACTAAATGAGACACCAAGTGTAAGTCCATGTGTCATGTGTCTTCTAGGGCTGATTTTCATGTGTCAGGATAACTGTAGGAACCCTTCCCTCCATGTTCCCTCCTGTCTGTCCATCCCAGGCTGAGCCAGCTGCAGTTAGCTATGATTAATGGCCTCTATTAGTAGCAAGTTATAAACAGATCGGGTACACAGTGCCCATGAAAATCTCACCTCCCCAAATCCCTTACTACCTAGTGACTGCTTCTTAACTCCCGGGGCCCCTGCCTGTCCCGGCTTGAGAACATGGTCTAGGGAATGGCTTTACTAGAGGAATTCAAAATGTTTTGGAAGTAGGAAACAAATCTATTCAGGAAAGTCCAAAATTCTAAAATTGGTTTCAGTGGGGGTGGCACTTTAGGGAGCCAGGATGCAGGTCCAGGTCAGGGAAACCCACTTGTAAGACTCAAGGGAAAAAAAGTCAGGGTACTTGGGCAAATCACCTCCCATCTCTGGGCCTCATTTTCCCTGTTTAGTGAGTGATTGGCTCGAGACAGTTCCCAAGCTCCTGCTGTAATCAGCAGAGTCACCCTGCTCCTTATGAAAATTCCTATTCAGGCCTCAGTCCCTGCATTCGAGCAGGGACTCCACTCACTCACTCTACCCTCCCCAACCTGCCCCCAGCATCTGCCTGAACAATTCATTAGTCCGGCTTCCTTCTGGCCAATTATAAATGATTTTCAAACCTAATACAATTTCTTGAGGGTGCATCCAGAGGAGGGTGTGAGACCCTCAGTCCAGAGAAACCCATAATTTTCTAACACCCCCCCACACACACACATCCCACAGACTAAGGTGGGCATCACTTAACACATTTGAACAGACGAGAAAACAACCCCACAAAGACACCTTGGAGGGAGAGTGGCGGCTCGGAGAGATTAGAATCAGTGAGTCTGAATCTGCCTCTGGTCTCCCAATGCTTCCAGAAACGGCTGAAAGCCAGGAGACCTAGCCAGCTATGAATACAATCTGAAGTAGGTAATCTCTGAGTGTGATGTAACTATGTGTTAAAAACAGCGGATTAGTGTGTCCGTGCTGCTGTCTCCTGGGATTAGCAGGACCCAGCCTCCTACCCCGTCGTCCCAGAACACTGAGCAGTGACCTCCAGTGCAGTGCTAGGCCACCAGCTCAGGTGCCTGGAGCAAGCCAGTGCACCCGGCTGTGGGCCTCCAGCCGGCTTTCCGCTGCGACCACAGCCCTTTGCCTTCTGCGCTGGGACACTGTGGCTGAAGTCCTGACCTGGGGGCTCTCCCATCCCCACAGCAGGAAAACACAAAGGTTCTGCGCCAGGATCCCTTCTCAGAAATCCTTCCAGGCTCTGGGAAAGGCCAGGGCCAGTGGGCAGCCGGCTGCAGGGCAGCCGCCCCGGGAGATGTGTCACATTTTTCTCCGGGTTAATTACCTCAGCCTGGGAATCTGAGCTGTATCTGTCTCGGGCACCACAAGCCTTGTCGCCTGGTGGGAGAATCTTAATCTTTCTCAGGTGACAGCTGCTGGCCTGCAACAGAAATGTCCTTATTCTGGGGGCGCCACCTGTCCCACAAGGCTGCAAAAATCTAGATCTGAGGTGGGGCAACACGGAATATGGTGAGCGGGATTGGACAGATGGAATGTTAGGTCACCTGTAGGCGGGGCTAGGGTGGGACTTGGCCTAACCGGAATTACCCCCAGCAGAGCCCCACCCTCTGTAGCCCTGAAGCACACGCAGCTCTTGTCCTTTGCGTCTACATGGGCAAATATTTAACCTTTCCATTTTTGCAGTGGCTTGTGAATCTGGGTGTCTAGTAGAGTTTGACACATAAATAGGTACCCGATACCTGTTTGTTGAATGTGTAATTCTGTCAGCTTGTCTGTCTCCTAGGGAAGTGCTGTTCCCAGACTAGTAGATATTTCATCACAGTTATGACATGTCATGTGTGCGGCTAAGCAGCCAGCTGGGAGTGTTTATCACTTTTAAAGATAACTTTGAAGAGACCGACATTATTTCTAACCAACATAACAAGTTGAGCTGGTATAGTGGTGGAGTCTCTTTGGAATTTTGAGATAGTAAGATTGCTTGAACCCAGAATTTTGGAGCTAGCCTGGGCAACATAGTGAAACTCATCTCCTAAAAACAAACGCAAATACAACTGTCTTCCAAGTGGCAGAGAAAAGGAGGGAGACTGTGGGGGACACTGTTTTTTGTTTCTTCTTCCGCTAATAACAGTCTCTGATGTCAGCTTGGAAGATGACCTTGGACCTGTCAGGGTGCCCTGACCATTCTGCTAACCAACAGGCTTGAGACCAAGCCCACTGCATGCAAATGCCTCTCTTCTGGACTCTGCATTCTAACCAGGGGTGGGAGGAGGCAACCATCACTGGGGATAGATGCCTGTGGAATGCCACGAGAGTGTGCTTGAGTCTACGCTTTTCATGCCTAGCTCCTTGGCCATTTCTTAGATTATCTGAATCTCACACTTCTTTTCTGAGTAGTTACTATTGCATAGAACTGAAGCATCCTGATTGTGGGAGTCACAGCCCCTCATCCCTGCTTTGGACAGCCTGGTAAGCATTCTTCCTGGCACTGAAAGAATTCTGTGTCTCCTTTGGGCACCATGGACTACAAATGCTATCCCTCTTCCACAAGACATCCCTTCAAATGGCCCAAGATGGTTGTCATTCCCCCAGGTCTCATGTAGGATTCAAGGCTCTCATTACACTGGCCGTTTTGTCTAAGTGCATTCTTGTATGTGTTCTTCATGGCATGTGTCCCTAACTGGAGCACGGCACTCATCTATATGGGTGAATTACCTAATCCAGAGCAGTGGTTCTCCACCTGTGGGTTGAGACCCCTGTGCAGAGGGGGTCAAACAACTCTTTCACAGGGGTCGCACAAGGCCATCGGAAAACACAGATGTCTACATTGCAGCTCACAATAGTAGCAAAATTACATACAGTTAGGAAGTAGCAATGGAAATAATTTTGTGGTTGCATGTCACCACAATATGAGGACCTATATTAAGGGGTCACAGCATTAGGAAGGTTGAGAACCACTAATCTAGATAGAATTTACTTTAATTTAAAACAGAGTTATTAGGCTCTAAGCTTTGTTAAGTAACCCTGAGGTCAAATGAACTTGTTTGCTGTCCAAGTACATCATCAATTACTCATCCCGCATCGCTTATATTCGTATAAGTGAGAAACACACTCATTTCAATCACCAAAGAACTTTTTTGGATCCAGTGTTCCTTTTTCCTGTATTCTTATCTCTCCTTATTATGGTTTAGATCAGAAATGTCCCCTGCAGGCTTATGTGTTAAATGCTTCAGTTCCCAGCTGGTAGCAGGGAGGTGGTTTAAAATCAGGAGATGGGCAGGGTGGAGGTCAGTAGCAGCAGACCAGGGAAGTCATAGCTAGCCTCCAGCCCCCACTCCCCCACCCTTCTACACACCCCTCTGCTGTGACATTTCACTTCACCATGGGCCGCACTTGGTGGAACTCAGGATTGCGGCATTGAAACCTCTGAAATCATGGTCTAAAACTGACCTTTCCCACTGTCATGTGTTTATGTGGCATGTTCCTTGCAGCAATGTACAGTCTGGGTAGCACAGCATGCTGGTACGGTGGTCATTGCCGCGGCTTTGCTTGGGAATGTAGTTCACGAACCTTTTGAACTTGCTTGGGAAAGTTCAGAAATGCAGGCTAGAGAAGTCCTCGGATGCTCTTGAGCACAATTTCATTGGTGGTTCCAATGGAAGCCCAGAAGACAAAATTAAGCAAGATTGTGGACAGTGAAGGCTGTGCTCATGGGGCTGGAGAGATGGCTCAGCAGTCAAGAGCACTGGCTGCTCTTCCAGAGGACCTGGGTTCGACTCCCAGCACCTGAGAGAGGTTCACAGCCATCTGTAACTCCAGTTCCAAAGAACCCAGTGCCTCCAAGGGCACTACACACACATGGTGGTGCATAGGCATATGTGCAGGCAACACACACACATAAAATAAAAATGAATAAAATGTCTAGAAATGGGGCCTTTGGGATGGATTTACTTCACGAGGGTTTGAACCACATGAATTAATTAACCCAATTCATGTATTAATGAATCTGAAGCAGGGCTTTGTTAGAAGAGTTAGCTCATGTGTTCCCTCCCTCCCTCTCTCACTCTTTCCTGGCCAACTGTTTCGTTCATATATGTGCTGACATGGCTTTCAGTGTCATCACAGTTCCCAAAATGATGGAATCAAGTGTTCACACACTTAAACCTTTGAAACTGTGAGCCCGTCAATATCTCCTTAAGTTCTTCTCCTCTCTGAGGCTTCGTCACTGAAAAGGACATGTACTTCGTTGCACATTTGTTAGGTCTCCAGGAGGAAAGGTTAAAGAAAAATCGAAATATGTGGCGTGACTTAGTTTTCTGTGAAGTTTTCAAAGACTAAGGAGAAAAGAGTCAGGCTTGCATTACTCCCTAAGGTGTGTGGAGAATATGTACACTTGCATATCGATTCCACACCCATTTGAAATTTAAATCGGATGTTCACACACCTGAAGCTGGGCTCAGTGAGTGACCTCGGACAGCTTCTAATTACCTTCAAACCCCAGTTCCTCAGGGTTCCATCCAGATACCTGCCTTGTCCCACCATCTACTGGAAACCACTTCCGAATGGGGCACCTCCATATGGTCTCCTGGTTTACTCTGATGACCCTCAGACCCTACGTGGATTATGCAAACACACCGCAGTGACTGCCACCCAACCACTGGATGTCCTTTTAGAACTCCTGTCTGCCCCCACTGTTAAAACTCTGTGGGAAACATGTTTGGAGTATGGACTATAGGTGCTGAGCACGGCACACTTGTAACCACCCCCACACAGCCCTGCTTGCCTATGCTTCCCAGGTTCCATGTGTGTATAAGTTGTGTCTCTAGAAACATTATCTCCTATTCCCTTCATTCTTTAAGAAGTAAAAAGTCTGAAAACTGTGTCTGGCCTCTGACAGTGGGTAGCACTGAGGTCGACCCCTCCTGGGAATCTTTGTTTAAGCCTTTGGTGTTTGCTATCAGCTAAGTTAGAAAAATTCAAAGAATGTTGTTCAAAACAAGACATAGCTAATATAAGAGACATTAGTCATCTGCCCATACAAATTGTATTTTTATATGACATGCTGGTGGCCCACAGCTGTCCGAACAGCCAATCCCCCTATTAAATCATGCAGTAGTTGATCCCTGTTGACACTGTGCACCTGTGATTTCCCAACAGCAAGAATCCAGTTAGAGTTCACACGTAAACACACCAAGCCTAAGTTAAAATAAAAATAAAAATAGAAGCCAAGCATAGTGGCACACACCACAGGAGTAGGCGGATCTCTGCTAGTCCCAGAGCAGCCTAATTTACATATGGAGTTCCAGGAGACCCTGTCTCAAAAACAAAAACAAACAAAAAACTTGAAAATAAATATATGCATACATGCATACATACATACAGGTAATGAAAAAAACTGCAGGCAAACACTATTATGTAATAATACAGCCTTAAAAATTTATAATGTATTCATCACTCTGAAGTATCTAAAAAGTCTTAAAGCAAAATATGCGTATTAAGTTTACATTAAGGGTTCTCACACTAATTTATTCATAGGATGCACATTTCTCCACACAGGTTGCATCCAACCTACAGTAACTCCTTGATAACATCCCTAGGAACGTGTTTTCTAAAATGTAGTTTGAAAACTACTATCGTGTAGTAGTCTCAGCAAGGCCATAGGTCGTCATCTCCCATAGAAAACTGAACAGCCGTCTGAGCCAGCAGCCTGGGGACCTCTGTGAGTCTCCAGAGACCTTCAGGGAAATCACAGATAGAAAACGTTTTTCCCCTAGAAGCACTAAGAAGAGATTTGCCCTTTTCTGTCTGATTTTCCTCCAAGCACGCAATGGAGCTTTTCTAAGGATTGATGCTTCACACATTCAACCGGATGTTAAAAGGGTAACAACAACAGAAGAATGTAAATCAATCCTATTCTTGTCCCTCAGGTTATCAAAAGGTGTCTATATGTTCAATTTGAAGGAAATATTTATGGTTTTTCTGTTTTCATTTTGATAGTGAAAATATAGCTAGAACCCTCACAAACAGTCTTTGGAGTTCTAAATAATTCTCATAGTGCAAGAGAATGTGAGACTGAGATGTTTAAAAGCTGCCGTTCCAAACAACTCTCCACAGAGGGAAACCGAGGGCTTGTGGGTAGTGCTCCAGCCGGAGTCCCTTCAAGTAGAAACAGACCTTATGAATTTGACTCCATGGACTTAGCATAGCAGCAAAATATTTGACTTGGGTAAGAAACTTAGAACCCCAAAGTAAGCTGTTATCTCACACTTATGTACTGCATACCCAGAAGGAAATATGCAGAGAAAAGAGCTGAGTCAAGAAAAATAGGACAGTGGACAAAGAAATATTGACCTAAGGCCGTGAGTATCATGATGCCTGGTGAGTGATTGCTAGGAACGCCCACAGCTGAAATGTAAGTGTGTGTGTGTGTGTGTGTGTGTGTGTGTGTGTGTGTTATGTTTGACTCTCTGTATGCACACACAACAGACTGGAGGGTCCACATCATTTATTAAACTTTGGGCAGACTTTATTCAAGATTTGCATAATTAGGATGATTATTTCTTCGGTAAGATCACATTAGTGAGATGCTGTTGAGAGTGAAGTATGTCTGAGACACTGAGAGAGAATACCTGCATAACAGGTGTAGGCAGACCTTTCTGCCCCACCAGCCCGCTCCCAAATAACCACATGGAGACTTACTATTAAATATAAATGATTGGCCAATAGCTTGGGCTTGTTGCTAACAAGTTCTTACATCATAAATAAACCCATATTTCTCATCTATGTTTTACCATGT